CGAGGGACGACCGGGGGGGGAGGGAAGGGTCTTGAGGCGGTGCTGGCTTGGGTCCCTGCTGAGCTTTCCCCCCCCCCAGGCCGCAGTGAGCCCCTGCGGAAGGAGCGGCCCAAGTGGAAGAGCGACTACCCCATGACGGACGGGCAGCTGCGCAGCAAGCGGGACGAGTTCTGGGACACGGCACCCGCCTTCGAGGGCCGCAAGGAGATCTGGGACGCCCTGAAGGCGGCTGCCTACGCCGTGGAGGCCAACGACCATGGGCTGGCCCAGGCCATCCTGGACGGCGCCAGTATCACCCTGCCCCACGGTAGGCAGGATGGGGATGTGGGGCAGGAACCTGGGGTGGGAGGGGGGTGTGGGGTGGACACATCAGGCAGGATGGGGACCTGGGGCAGGATGGGGGGAGGAGGACAGGGACATTGGGCCAGCAGGGTAGGAGGGGGACATGGGGCAGGGATTTGGGGCCAGAGGTGCAAAATGGGGACATACGGTGGGCTGGGGCCAATGGGGTGGGATCAGCATGGGGGACAGGGCTGGGGACTCACGGGCAGGGAGGGGGATGCGGTGCTGCAGGAGAACTGCTGGGGGTGGACAGATTCCTCTCCCTGTGCAGGGGGAGATACCAGTGGGGCCAGTAAGAATCCAAAGCAGGGTGGGAGGGTTCAGGGGGGCAGCTCATCACAGGGATCTGGGGCCCCATGACACTAACTGCCCTGCCCCTCGTCAGCAGAGAGGCCAGGGCTGACAGGGGCCATTCCCCTCTGCGCTGGGCCCCCGAAGGCAGGGCATGCTGGCTGGGGGGGGTGACCCAGGAGTGGGCCGTGCACTGGGGGAGCCCCTGGAGCCTGCTGGCAGGGGTGGCTGAGATGGGCTGTACCCCCAGGGTGAAGCCTGGAAGCTGTTGAAACCGCTCTGCCCCCAAACCATTCAGCTAGGTTGGCCTCTCAAACGGCTCTGCTGATGACACACAGCCAGCCCCTCTGGGCCCTGTTACAAAAAAATATATGGAGATAGGTGTATATATATCTCCTAGCATCGGCAGGGACCCTGAAAGGTCATTGAGTCCAGCCCCATGCCTTCACTAGCAGGACCGAGTACTGATTTTTGCCCCAGATCCCTAAGTGGCCCCCTCAAGGATTGAACTCACAACCCTGGGTTTAGCAGGCCAATGCTCAAACCACTGAGCTCTCCCTGCCTCCTGTTATCACCTAACACAACAGTAGGTGGCGCCACACACCCAACTGAGTCACCTGAGTGCTTTACCTGAGCCACTCACTGACCAACAATGCATCCGAAGAAGTGGGCTGTAGTCCACGAAAGCTTATGCTCTAATAAATTTGTTAGTCTCTAAGGTGCCACAAGTACTCCTGTTCTTCTTTTGACCAACAATGGAGGCACCAGCCAATGTCCCAGCTCCCGAGCCTTGCACCTCTACTGGACCATAAACCCAGAATGATACCGTCCTGCACAGGGGTCTGTATGGTGCAAGCTCATTAATTAGCCTGCTTCCTCCTCGCTGTGGGGAAGATACGCACCAGCCTTTGTTACAGAGCCGAGATTCCCTAAGACTTCGCTCAAAGACACACAGGTTAAGATAAAGCAGGTTTATTAACTACCAAAAGATAGATTGTAAGTGATTATAAGTGATAGCAAACAGATCAAAGTAGATTACCCAGCAAATGAACCAAACCGCAATCTAGGCCTAAGATACTAGCTAGGCTTTGAATCAAACAGTCTCACCCTTAGCTAGTACGAGCAGTTTGTAGATGTTCTACACACGGGCAGGGATCCTCTCTTCCAGCCTGGGACCAGTCTTTGTTCCTCAGGTGTTGAGTTGTAGAGGGAGTGAGGCCCCTTGGTGATGTCACTTCCCCCTTTTAGTTTTTCCATACGGCGGGAACCCCTTTGTTCCAAGCCAAGTGCCCAGCTCCGTTTGTGGAAAAATACAGGTACCAAAATGGAGTTCAGAATCCTGTGGTCTGGTCACATGCCCTTGCATGCCTCCCCGAGTCACAGCAGCCATTATCCACAGGCTGTCTGAAGGGTCCCCAGGTGAGGACAAGCCTTTGCCATGGCCCATTGTTTCTGCTGATGGGCCATTAGCACCATCTGGCTTCTTCCCTGTTGTGCCTGAAAGGCTAGTTGAGGGTGTTACCCAGAGCAAGCACATGTGACATACAGTGACACGGTCAATAGTCATAACTCCAGAGACACAAATGATCCCTGCCTACCAATAGGATAATCCTATTCAGTAAATCATAACTTTCCCATGGACACCTCACATGACACATTTTGTACAAGGTGCATCATAATTATGTCACAATCATTCCATTAGGCTGAATATGGGGCAGCGTCACACCGGTCATCACTGGACCCACACCATCCGCCCGCAGGGGCTCCCTGTGCCCCAGCCCTGCTCTGGGGGTGCTGGGGGCAGAGGCTCCCGGACCCCACTCACCCCACCCGGGATCGGGGGCTCCCTCGGCTCAGCTCCAGGCACATGGGCAGCTCACGTCGCTTGGGTTGGTGGCTTCTCCCAGATTCAAATGAAGAGCCTCTGAGCTGTGTGGCTCGGGAGGTCCTGGCTGTGTCTAGTCCCGGAGCCCCAGCTCCTCCAGCCAGCTCTCAGATCCAGAAGGAGAATCCGTCTGACCCCTGGCACCTAGGCACTGAGCCATGGTGTCTGAGAGGCCACACTCCCCCTGGGGCACAGGGGATGGGGGGTCTGCAGGGGCAGGGAAATGGGGGTAAAGAGCTTCGGGGGGTGGATTTTGGGTGTTCTGGGCTGGACTACCGTCGGGTTGCAGATTGGGATTGAGGGGCACTATCAGCTATTTTGGGGGCAGGGGGACCCCAGGGCTGGGCTAGCAGGGGTCTGTGGGTCAGGATTGAGGGGCACTGGTAGGGCAGAGCTGGGGGGACCCCAGGGCTGGGCTAGTGGGGTCAGCGGGTCGGGATTGAGGGGCACTGGTAGGGCAGAGCTGGGGGGACCCTAGGGCTGGGCTCGTGGGGGCAGCGGGTCGGGATTGAGGGGCACTGGTAGGGCAGAGCTGGGGGGATCCCAGGGCTGGGCTAGTGGGGGCCGTGGGTCGGGATTGAGGGGCACCAGCAGAGGGGTCTATGCTGTCGGTGGCTCCTGCCCGTGCTGTACCTGTCTCCAGCTCCTTCCCCTCACCCCTTTGCTGGCATCTCCGGCTCCCCTGCAGGGTCCCTGACTGAGTGCTACGACGAACTGGGGAACCGCTACCAGCTGCCCGTGTACTGCCTGGCACCACCTGCCAACCTCATCCTGGAGCGGGGCGGCGACGAGAGCACAGAGCCCCTGGAGCCGGCGCCCAGCGCCCGGCGTGAGTTCCCGCTCAAGGTGCGGCTCTCCACCGGCAAGGACCTGCGGCTGAGCGCCAGCCTGGCCGACACCGTGGGGCAGCTGAAGAAGCAGCTGCAGGCGCAGGAGGGCATCGAGCCGGGCTGGCAGCGCTGGTTCTTCTCCGGCAAGCTGCTGACGGACCGCACGCGGCTGCACGAAGCCAAGATCCAGAAGGACTTTGTCATCCAGGTGATCGTGAACCAGCCGCTGGTGCCCAGGAACTGAGCCGGGCCGGCTGACGGGCGCAGGGGCTGCTGGGCTCCAGGGAAAGCCAGCAGGGCCCTCGGAGCCGGCGAACTAAGTCTCCACCCCAGAGGCAACAGCCCGCACTCGCCCGCTGGGCACGGCTGGGCACACAGCCCCGGGCAGAGCCACACCTGTGGGGCTTGCGCTCACCTCTGCTCTGCGTCGATCCTCCCCGCCCCTTTGTGCCTGCTGCTGCCGCCGCGGGGCAGGGGCTCCCTGCCATCAGAACACGGAGGCCCCCTCAAAGCCCTGACCCTGGAGGAGGTCTGTACCTGGCAGTCTCGGGAAGGGCTGCCGGGATGGGCGGGGCTGCGGGATGGGCGGGGCCTGTCTCACCCCATCGGCACTTGGACACTCTCATAAAATGGTTTCGAGATTTGAGACCAAACCTCTTCCTGCAGGAGCCCCATTCTCAGGACACCGGGACCCTGCGGTGCCCAGGGCACCTGGCACCTCGGGCTGCCCTCCCGAGCCCAGCTCCTGGGGCGAGCCAGCCTGGGCACTCCGCCCTGCCTCATGTCCCCTGGCACCTCCCAGGCAGGCTGGGCGGGGCCGGGCAGGGGGCAGCTCTCCCGGTGTCTATGGGTCTGCATATTTATCAATAAAGCCTTTTTAGCTTCTCCGGGCCCCGCTGCCTCCAGCACCTGCTTCCACGTCGGCCAGGCATGGGTACGGGCTGGCCAGGCTGCATGGCACACCTGGGCCTGCTCCTTACAGCTGCCCCGTCCCAGCCCAGCCCTTGGCCCCTGCTGGACGGGGTATCGGCCTCACCCCTGCCCCCCCACCCCTCATAGCTCAGAGCCACCCACCCCACTGCTGCTCCCATGTCATCAAAGGGGGAAACTGGGGCACAGACAGCCAGCGACTCCCCGGTCACTAGAGCAAAGCTGGGATTTGAACCCAGGCGTCCTGGTGCCCAACTGCTGCTGTAGCCACTAGGTTATGCTGCCTTCTCTGGTCACTGCCTAACTGCTGTAGCCACTGAAGGGCCCGTCCCCAGCGTATGGAGCCAGAAGCAGCCTCCACCTACCCCCTGGGCTCCTGGCCCCCTTAGCCTGGCCAGCACTGGCCCCGGCTCCTGTCTGAGCTCAGCCACCCGCTGGGACTGGCTGCTCCCTGAACATGGCCCCTTCCCCAGGCCCTCTGGACTCCTGTGGAACATCAGAAGCTGGGCCACTGGCCCCACCTGCACGTGGACACGCCGGCCTATGCCTGGGGCCTGGACCCAGGGGCTGACAAGGGAGCTTCTAATTCCAGGGCCCGCTGCTCCCGGTGCCCAGGGGCCTGGCTGACATCACTGGGGTCCGGGCGCCTCTTCCCATCTCGGCCCATGTCCCTGTGGGCAGGGCAGGCCAGCCGGGCGGGGCAGGAAGACCTGGGCGCTTGCTGTGGGCACCGCCAGCCCCCCTCATCCCCAGGAAGGCCCTGCCGGGGCAGTGGGTGTCCCCTTCTCAAGCCCAACCCACCCAGCCCTGACCCCCAGCACAGCCCCCCACGAGTGGGGCATGCAATTGGGCTTGGCTCAGCTCTGCCCCCTGGCTGGGAGGGGCCCGTGCCGGCAGCACCCCCTTGTGGCAGCAGGGGGCTGCGCGCTTGGCTTGGCTGATGTCCCCCTGCCGGCCGTGGGCTCTGGACGGTGCTGGGACCCGGTAGGCTGCTCCTCCCGGCGGGGCAGGCTTGGCCTGTTCACTGCAGTGCCGGTGTCTGTGAGGTGCCCGCCTTGGGGTGACTTCAGCCCCTCTGCGGGGACCTCTGGGGGAGAGGTCAAAGGTCAGCACCAGGAGCATTCTCAGCTCGGGCCGCGGCCCGTGGGGCAGGGACAGCTGGTGTCCCCTACCCCTCGGGAGGCCACCCCGTGACGCACCCCATGAAAAAGCTGGGCCAAAGCAGGGGGTGGAGAGCCCCCCATGTGTTTCACCAGCCCCCAGTGTGTGGGGAGTGGAACCTGTCGGCCCCCAGCGACTCGCACTGACCCCGGGCATTGCTTCCGGCAACGCCCTGCCCCTCAGCTCCTCTGCTCCCCTGCCCTGTCCCCCAGCTCCTCTGCCCCGCAGCTCCCCCGGCTCCCCTGCCCTGCCCCCAGGCTCCCCTGCCCCCCAGCTCCTCTGCCCTGCCCCTGGGCTCTCCCGCCCCGCAGCTCCCCTGGCTCCCCTGCCCTGTCCCCAGGCTCTCCTGCCCGCCAGCTCTCCCGCCCTGTCCCCCAGCTCCCTTGCTCTGCACCTGGGCTCTCCCGCCTCCCAGCTCCCATGCCCTGGCCCTGGGCTCTCCCACCCCCCGCCTCCCCTGCCCTGCCCCTGGGCTCTCCTGCCCCCCGGCTCCTCCGCCCTGTCTCCCAGCCCCCTGGCCATGGGCTCTCCCACCCCCCGGCTCCCCCGCCCTTTACCCCAGCAGCCGCTGGCTGACCCATGGGGGAAGTGCCGCAGCGAGGGCTGAGCGTGGTGCTCAGAGCCAGGAATAGCTCCCGTGCCCCCTGCGGCCTGGCTCAGCACGAACTATTCCCACCATTCCTGGCTGGCGGGGCGGGGGGGGGGGCACAGGCCGGGCAGCGCGTCCCGGGGCTGGGCTGTGAGCTGTGCCAAGCCAGCAGCTCCTGAGCTCATCCCTCAAAGCAGCCAAAAGCATCACCTGCCCCCCAGCCCGGCCAAGGGGCTCAGAGACGCGGCCCCGTTCTCACGTGGGGCCCCCGGCACAGGGCTTGGGGGGCTCTGGCTGGGGAGGTGATGGGAGGTCGGGGGTGGGAACGGAACAAAGTGCCCCCCTGCCCAGACTGCTGGGGGCTCCCGGCTGGGTTACGGGGCCCCCTGGCCAGCGAGGGCCGCGCTCTTCCCAGATGGGGGAGGCGCCAAGGCCCCCACCCCACAGAGCCCCCAGTGCGACCCAGCCTGCCCAGGAGCAGAGCAGCCCCCAGCCCCCTCTGCGGGCCCGAGCGCGTGGGGCCAGGCCCCAGGCTCGTTAAGCCATGCCAGGCGCTGGGTGAAGGTGACCCCATGACAGCGGGACTGAGAATGCAGCCGGGTGAGCTCATGACAAAGGCTCCCGGGTCACATGCGCTGGGCACATGTCGGGTCCCTTGGGCCCTGGGGCGGAGGAGCAGCACAACATAAAGCGCTGGAGCCGGCGGAGCCCCCCGCAGCAGCGTGAGATCGGACGGGCCCAGGTGGCTCCGTGGCACAGCCAGCGGCCCTGCCCGGGAGAGGAGCCGCTGGGCGCACACCCAGGGCGTGGGGGGGCATGGAGGAGGCACCCATGGAGCAGGGCGTGAAGTGGGCGACGGAGCTGATTGACCAGAAGCTGCAGGAGCAGGAGGTGAGACCCTGAGTGAGCGAACTGGAGGGCAAAGGGGGCCAAGAGCTCCTGGAGCGGGGCCGGGCTGGGGGTGACGGGGGGCTGCCTGGGGCGGGCCGGGCTCCAGGGGCCAGGCCTGGGAGCTGTCTGCAGGGCTGCATTACTATTGATCACCTACACCTGAACCTGTGCCCATCACCATGGGCTCAGGGCGCCTCGGTTCGGTAACCGCCCAGACTCACCGACCTGGGGAAACACACGCCTCAGTCTGCGCTGGCCCCATGCCTGGGCCCCTGCTCGGCGGGCAGCCAGGGGCCGGGCACCCCGGGGCAGGCTGGTGCCGAGCAGTGGGCAAGGAGGCCGCAAGGCCCTGCCCCAGGTAGGGCGTTCGGACGCTCTTGAAATGGGCGGGTGTGGGGCACAGGGCAGCAGCATGGGGTGTGGGCTGCAGCGCATGGGGAGTCAGTCCCATGGCAAGTGCAGGCATGGGGACGCCCCTGCTCGGGGTGGGCCCCAGGCCTGGGGGATCCCAGGAGGGGCCCTCGGGGAGACGAGCCTTTCAGGCTGGCCACAGGGAGTGAGCAGCCCCAGATCAATGGGGCGTGTCCGTCAGGGCCCATGGGGACACCAGTGCCACCTCCTGGTCTGTTATGGGGGCCAGAGCTGGGGGGCCCTGAGGGGCCAGGGCTGAAAGCGCCCAGAGATTAAGCTGTTGCCCTTGGCAGCTCGGGCTAAACCCCTTGCATCTGCCGGGCCCGTGTGGGTACCGGGGCTGTGGCGGGAGGGGGCCTGGGCTGATGCCAAGGGAGGCAGGGGACGGACTCTTGAGGGGGGCAGGGGGTGTGGGGCAGGCCGGGGCCTGGCCCTCACCCTGCTGGCTTCCCTGCTTGGCTTCACAGCGGCTCGAGAGCCAGGCCCCCGAGATGCCGCCAGCGGTGGCGAGAATGGACACGCCGGAGCTGGAGGACGAGAAGCGCCACGGCCCTGTTCACTGGGGCATCGAGGGGCTCAAGGTACGCGGGCCTGGCCTGCCCTGCTGGGGGCATCACAGCCAGACCCCCCGCAGCAAGCCCTGCAGCTCCCCCACTGGCACAGTGAGCCCAGCAGCCCCCCACACCCTGTCTGGCTTGCACTGTTAACCCTTCCCTGGCCCAGCCCTGCCCATCACACTGTGCCAGGAACGTGCAGGGCTGGGCACTGAGGGGTTACACAGGCTGCGGCCCCCACCACACTGTGACATTGCTGCCTGTGGGACCCAGCTGAGGTTACTCAATCAGGGTGAACTGCAAACAAAATGGGGCAGAGACACCCCAGACGCTGGTGGATATTTCAATACTTAGATTTACCAACCAGCCCAACACAGCTTCTATAGTACCTCACTGGTCACTCAGAGTCCAAACAACGCAGTTCTCTTAAAGTGCCCAGCCTCAGGCCTCCGTCCACACACACACGTCAGATACGATGATGGTTACTGAGAATTTTATCATATAAAAGAAAAGGTTCTTCCAACCCCAAAGGATCAGCCACACACCCAGGTCCAATGATAACTTGGATCTTACCCAAAATACACACTATAGCCAATTCTTATTAACTAAACTAAAATTTATTAAAAAAGAAAAGAGAGAGTGTTGGTTCAAAGATCAATATACAGACAGACTTGAATTCAATTCTTGAGGTTCAGATACAGAGCAGAGATGAGCTTGTTGTTGCCAAAAGTCCTTTTAGAAATAGTCCAGAGGTTATAGTCCAATGTCCATATTCAGGGTGGCTCCAGTCAATGACTGGGGATCTCAATCTTTGTGGCTTAAGGTTTCCCCCTTTTGAAACCCAAAGCAGATCTGAGATGATGTTGGATCGTGTCCCAGGGTTTTTATACATTTCCAGCAGCCTTTCAGCCTGAGAAAACAATAAGCCTAACTCTCCTTCTCCCAAACATCCTGGCAATTAGCACAGGGTAATTTATCCATTACACAGTTCAGATACAGTTACCACAACCTTCAAAGAGACATAGAGACAATAATACTATTTCCCTCAAGTATCATCATAAATGTAGGGTTACCATATTTCAACAAGCAAAAAAGAGGACGGGAGGAGCCCCGCCCCATCCCGCCCTAGCCCCACCCCTGCCCCTCCCACTTCCCGGCCCCCTCAGAACCCCCAACCCTCCCCCCGCTCCTTGTCCCCTGTCACAAGTGTGGGGGACTCTGGGCCCTGCACCCCCGGCTTCCTGCGATTCACCATGACTCTCAGCCAGCCAGTAAAGCAGAAGGTTTATTTAGACGACAGGAACACAGTCCAAGACAGGTCTTGCAGGCACAGACAACAGGACCCCCCTCAGTTAGGTCCAGCTTGGGGTCCCAGGGCGCCCCAGCCCCCTTGCGAGGTCAGAGCCCCGTCTGCCTCCTAGCCATCTCCCCAGCCAGCTCCTGAAACTCTCCTTCAGCGACCCCACCCACAGCCTTTGTTCAGTTTCCCGGGCAAAGGTGTCACCTGGCCTCTAACCCCTTCCTGGGTTCTCATGTTACATGTTCTCATGTTCTCAGGTATTTTCCCTCGGGCAATCTCCCAACCCCAATGCAGACTATCCTAGCCACACTCCCCACTCAGCATTCAAAGCCCACAGTAAGAACAGTCCCAGTTCGTCACATCCCCTGACTGCCCCCTCCTGGGACCCCTGCCTCTAACTGCCCCCAGGACTCCACCCCCTACCTAAGCCTCCCTGTCTCTTGTCCCCTGACTGCCCCCTCCTGGGACCCTCCCCCCATCCTAACTGGCCCCCTAGGACCCTACCCCCTACCTGTACCCTGACTGCCCCAACCCTTATCCACACCCCCAGACAGACCCCCCCCGAACTCCTGACCCATCCAACCCTGCTCCCTGTCTCTTGACTGCCCCCTCCAAGACCTCCCTGCCCCTTCTCTGACCCCCTGGCCCCCTTACCGTGCTGCTCGTCCCGGCATGCTGGGGAGCGGGGGAGGCGCTCCAGACTGCCGGAGGCGATCTGCGAATGCAGGGAGGGAGGGAGGGAGGGAGTGATCTCTGCTGCAGGGGGGAGGAGGGGTCTCTCTGGCTGTCGGAGCCCCATGTAAGTGGCACCATCTGGCCGGCTGCCCTGTTAGCCGCGCGCGCTCTGCATGGGGGGGAAGTCCGGACATTTACAAATTCCCCCCGGACGCTATTTTTAGCTCAAAAAGCCGGACATGTCCGGGGGAATCCGGATGAATGGTAACTCTAATAAATGTTAATATTCCTTTTTTGATCTTTGAATTAAAGTTATAGCAATAGACCAGACTTGTTTGCTGACATCCCAAGCCCTGAGCACACATCTACCCTTCTCTCTCTAACAATGCCGGCTGCATTTCAAAGCTCTGTTCATTTACAGACCCTCCTAACCAGTCTCTGGTTCGGCCATGGGTCAGGTCGGTCTGGGAGGTAATTCACTCTTTCGGGCCCTGTCACCTTTCAATGAGATATTACGTTACACTCCTAACATCACACACACACACACACTGTGCTGCGCTGGCACTGGGGGTCAGCAGGGAATTGGCCCCACGTCTGGGCTCGTCACCTCCCCCTGGGCATCCGTGTCTGGAGCTGCAGGCTGGGTCCAGGCCAGATGGCGCGGGGCCGATGTGGTGCAGAGAAGGAACCTGAGGCAGTACCAGCCAAAGGGCACAGCCAGCCGCATGTTGGTCTGACAGAGGGGCCGGGGCCAGCCGGACCCGGTGGGGGGGGGGGGCTGGTTAGAAGGACCCCGGGGGCAGGGGCCGGCCGGACCTGGGGGCAGGGGCCGGCCGGACCTGGGGGCAGGGGCCGGTTAGAAGGGCCCGGGGGCAGGGGCCGGCCGGACCTGGGGGCAGGGGCCGGCCGGACCCGGGGGCAGGGGCTGGTTAGAAGGACCCAGGGGCAGGGGCCGGTTAGAAGGACCCGGGGGGAGGCTGGCAGCTGGTGCTTGGGAGGCCCTGCCCCTGCACTGGGGCCATGAGGGCAGCCCCTGTGTGTGGAGAACCCCACCGGGACCCCAGCACAGGAGCGGGGCTGGGCTGGGCCATTCTATGCTGATGCCCCCCAGGCCTGGCTGGCTGGGGCTGGTCTCTGCACCCCGAATCCATTCCCCCCCAATGATGTGTGGGGTGCAGGGCCAGCACCAAGCCCCTGGCTCACTGCCCCGAGGGTGCTGGGCAGGGACCCCCTCCCCAGCCTGCCAGACACCTGGCCCAGGCCCAGCTGTTAAACACAGATCGCAGCACTGCCCCACACGGCTTCCCTCTGCTGGGGTGGAGCTGGGGCTGGGGTTGGGCAGTCTGTGATGGGGGGGTCGCCTGGTGTGACAATGCGGTTCTGGCGGAACCCAACTGAGAGTGCCAACTCAGGACA